GTGGGCCAGGAGGGGAGGTCAGGACACTGTGAGGTGCAGGGGAGGCTGAGGATGTGGCCGGGCCTGAGCAGAGGGAGGGGACTGGGTAAAGGTCTTGCTCTAAGACAATCTGGGTCAACCTTAGGGAGGGCTGCTCTTTTATTTATCTGTTTTAGTGAGGTATCTGTAACATTTATAAGACCATGGCTTGTTCCAGTTCTATGTAGTGAGTCTACGAATGTAAATCCATGAATCCTTGTTCCCAGCTTAGGAGGGAATGCTCTTACTATCCCTGTTTTGCACATGAGGAAACAGAGACAGGAAAGGTCAAGAAAGTAGCCTGGCATGGTCACCCTGAGCACAGCCGAGCCTGGACGGGGCCTCACAGGGACCCCTAGAGCCTCTCCCTGCAGGACCCTAGGCTAGCCCTTCCCTGTCCAAACAGCTGGTGGTTTTGAGGCCTTTTCTCTGACCTCTCTGGCAGAAATCTTATTGAAAGGTAGGGAGGGCAGCATTTCACCCGTCAGTGGGGAATCCTCAGTACCTGGTGCAGGCAGGGCCCTGACAGGAAGGGAGCTCTGAGGCAATAACATGTAGGTGAACAGAACAAGCAGGAAAGCCGGGCCCCTAGGATGGCACCACCGACTCCCTGAGGACGCGGTCTGTCTCGGAGGGTCCGAGTGTCACTGTCAGTGGGCAACAGGACAGCAAGGTAGCAGGAGCTGGTGTGTCTTTCAAGTGAGGGCCGTGCCTCTGGGTCCTCTGTCCTGGGGCGGAGAGGTCACCTGTGTGAGTGAATGATAAAGAGATAAAGGAGCTACTGGGCCCCAGGTGTTTTCTGGACAGAACAGAGCTGAGGTGTGGTTGCAGCTGGGTGGGGGAGAAAGGATCAGTTTCTTCCCAGACAAACCTAGTGGCTCCCTACAACCACGGAGTCTTCCCTAGGGGGCCAGGAGGAGCCTGGGTTAGCCCCCTGTGGGTGTCAGTGAAGTGGGCCCCAACCCCAGCATCACAACCAGCAGTAAGAAATGTTCTGCTCCCCGAGGGGCTAATGTGGTTGAGACCTGAGTTTACTGACCTGCCTCCGGCCTCCCCTCGCTCCCTGGTTGCCCTGACCCTGTCTCTCCCCAGCTCTGAGCACATGGAGGGCTGCTGCAGCTGCTCCTGGCTCCTCCTTCTCCCCTCCCTGCTTCTCCTGGTCCAGCTGCCCCCCGGGGGAGCCACAGGTGAGTGTCCCCCTTCTGTCTCCCTCTGGGGCTGGGAGCCTCTGGGTGCTCTGCTGGGTCTCTCCATCAGAATGGACGGGAGTTCATGGAGATCCCAGCTCTAGAAGGACTGAGGTGCTCCACTAAGGGCTAATTGTAAGGAAGAATTTCACGTGGGTCACTGAACTGTAAGGTAAGTGTAGGTGATTTTGACAGGTGTCCAATGATTAGCTGTTAGATGTTCTGAAAAGCCAAATATCAAAAATGATTTAGGGGAGCATGGGCAGGCATGGTGTTCAAGGAGGAGGAGGTGAGTCAGAGGTGGAACAAGGACTTGCAGGAGAGGAGCGTGAGCTGTGAGGGTCTCTGGGAAAGGCATTTCCCACAGGGGGGAACAGTCAGGGTGAAGCTGGCACAGTACCTGGCTGT